AAATATTGTCCGATCCTAACAAACCATACATCAATGAAAAGCTTATTTATTTTGAAAAATGGACCCTTATGACTGGTTTTGTGGTCCAGGGTCACATATAATATTATATATCTATATCTATATATAATATATATTTTATTTCAAGTGACTAAGGTTTTTATGGTTTTAGTTAACTATAATAACACTGGTCACAGACCAATATGTAATGTGATTTGAGACAGTATTTTAACATAAAAATGTGCATATTTGAATAATTTCGTGATGTTTCTAGCCTTTCACTTTGGGATGATTTCCTCCTGGTATCTGTTTTTCACAGACCTAATGTGTGTTCATTAACAGCCACCGAGTCACTCAATCTGTCAATCACTCCACTTACTCCACGGCTTCTTTTCTTTCAGTCTCGGGTGACTTCATACTGAGAGACAATCATTTCACTTCATTAGACAAACACAAACAACCCAGCACTCCCGCAGGAGTCACAGACAAACAGAACGACAGACAGAGAGTGAGAGAGAGACGGGTGAGCACTCTGATCTGATCAATAATCACCTGCCAGACGCTCTGCGCTTTACTGCGGAGGGGTGCATGCTGGGAAAAGCAGTTTCACGGATTAAATGATCATTATTTTCAAGCAAAAGCGGTCATTCGTTGTCGCTCTCGGGGGAGAAAATTGTCTAAAAAAGTTTAGACTTTATGAAAACACAATGACTTTCACTATAAAAGCCAATGGACGCATCAGCGTTAGTTCTGCTGGACCTGAGCTCAGATCTATCCGTATGAAAGATCCCAGTCTTCTCAGATAAACAACCCAACGAGCCCAAGGAGGATTGCATTGTCATTTTTGTGTTGGAGTTCTTAAAAGAAATTAATACTTTTATTCAGCAAGGATAGTTTCAATTGATCAAAAGTGACAGTAAAAAAATTTATAATGTAACAAAAGATTTCTGCTTCAAATAAATGCTGTTCTTTTGACGTTTCTATTCATCAAAGAATCTTGATAACATCGTTTCCATAAATTCAACTTTGCATCACAGGAATAAATTACATTTTAAAGTATATTCAGATAGAAGCAATCAAAATTAACAAAGAGCAACAATATGTATGTGCTGTGACAAGTCTCGGTTAGCCTGACGCAGTACACGTAGCAAGGTATTTATATATATATATATATACACACACACACACACACACAAAAAGAAAAACAAGTAGATAGAATAGAAAAATAGAAAGCTAGTGTTAGGTTTTTTTACATTTACATAACATTTCAAATTAAAATTAAGTAAAATTACATTTTAAAATATATTCAAACAGAAAACGTAAAATAAAAATAGAAAAAAAAATCTTTAATTTACCAAAGCCTTATTAAACTGATCAAAAGTGACATGCATAGACGTTTATATTATAAAATATTTCTATTTCAAATAAGCGTTCTTTCTATTCAGTCCTCTGAAATAAAATTATCCAATTTTCCACAAAAATATTGGGTTGCACAACAGTTTTCAACATTGATAATAATCAAAAATGTTTCTTGAGCAGGAAATCAGCATATTAGAATGATTTCTGAAGATCATGTGACACTGAAGACTGGAGTAATGATGCTGAAAATTCACAGCAATAAATTACATTTTACAATATATTCTCACAGAAAATAGCTATTTTAAATTATAATAATTTTACAAAATTTTTACTGTATTTTGGATCAAA